CTCTGCCAGATCTAAAATACACAAGTATTTATAGACGGAATACCAGTCAAATGTGGAATGTACCTATCAGAGATGCTTCCTCCGTCTGGCTACAGCTCAGCAGCTCAGATCGTGTGGGCAAATAAAAGCATTCGATTGTCAGTGTTGGTTAGGTTTCAAGACATACATTAGTGGCTGCTGTGAAGGTGCATGTCTGTACCTGAATTTCACGTCTCCTAGGATAACAGAATGAATGCTAATTATTTTCAGGAGCACGACCTCCATAACAAAACAATTCCTTTCAGCAGAGAAAAACCTTTGCTTAAAAGTCTTTGTAAAAATCACAACGATTGAAACGTGTTCATTGTCAGCAAACAATAACGCAAAAAACAGATGAAATAAAAGAACGTATAATGGGATTTTAAATCTTGTCATAGAGGAGTAACATCAAGGAATCAACAGAAGACAGAACAGATGCTACCTATTTAATTTCCACAGTGAGATTAAACAATTCTAATCACTTACAAACATGGCTACTTGACCTCAGATACACATGAACAGCTACAATATTCAGCCTGAAAAACAGAAATGACAGAAGTGGCAAGACTGCTGAAAGTGGGAGAACTGAGATGACCTGCCATAAGCAGAGTTTAAAGAGAGTTTCAAAACAAACACTGGTGTTTAAGCAGTTTACAAAACCTTTTAGACACAGGAGGAGGAGATTAAAAAAATGGTTCTTTTTTTTATTTCTCACACCCATCTACATGTGCCTAATGAGAACAAAAATCTCAGGACATAAATTACAGATAATGTCTGTAATCTAATACACACTTAATATCATCTTAAGGTGGGGAGGGTGAATACACCTCTGTGTCAGAGAGAAAGAAGCTATTTGGGGAAATTATGAAGCAGGATTTTTATTTTGAAGCAATCATTAGTTCGTGGTACATTTGCTAGGTATATTAATTGAAACTGTCAAAAAAGTTTAGTTAGGATGAATACTGTAACCACAAGATAACCCAAAACAAGAGATACATTGTTTATTTCTCTTCCCCTTTGGATGTGTAGAACATTGGTTTTGAAGGACAACAGTAGAAAAAGCAGTAGTTCCACGTTAATGTCATCTAGGTACAAGTGTGTTGCTACCACACTTCAGAAGGGGCGACACAGGGAAACTGGAAAGTCTGTCGACGGGTTTCATTAATCCAGCAGTCCTTAGGTGTTAGGAATCATTGCTTTTTCCTTCCGCCTCTTGACTTTCCAGCAAGGCTTTGGATGACGGCACTTCTCCACCCTCTGCTCCTTCATCTAAAAAAAGAATTAAACATTTATACAACACACATCCCACAGCTTTTTTAATGCAGCCAAATATTTGGGTTCACTGATCATCTCTGTTTGGACTGGCTCTTGATCACCACACTCATGGGTGCTTTAGAAAGAGAGATTAACATGAAAGATAAAGAACTTGCAGAGGCGTCTTCCAAAAGCAACTGTCTGTTGGTGTTGATTTGCCTGCTCCTTGCACATGCTGATCAATGTGCATTTGGTTGTAAGAAACAGATTGGAGATAACTTTTTATCGTTATTATTCTTTTTTTTCTGGGTAATTTCCAAAGTCAAGTTAGAATACTGCATTCCTCTGCTTGGTTTCAGTTTATGAACATGCCAGCTATCTGGGTGACCTTCTTTGCCAAGGAATACCTAGAAGAATTCACCCTGTCTTCACAAGAGGAGGGAATTTGTTGTTACTCTGCTTTGGAAGTTCACTCTTCCATAGGTTAGAGTTGAATGCTTACATTGATGAAGTGAAATTTTCTACTTTTATATGAATTTTGGTTTTGCTAACATTTGAATTAGGGGTTGTGAAACTATGTGAAACTTTGGGTCGTGAAACTGCACAGCCTGTTTGCTGATGAAAGAGGAATGTACGGAAACTGCAGGAACCGCAGGAGCTCCCTCAAAGCTATCTCCAGATATCAAGGAAATATTAAGGAGACATTAAGGAGACATCAAGGAGACAAAGCTATCTACACATGCCAGACGTTAAGGAGATGCCTAGCAAACATCTACCTGACTGACTGTTACAAGAGGTTGCATCAGAAAAGGGGTCCTGGCTTGTGCTCAAGGAGGATTCAACTAGAGAACATCGTGGGGAAAAATACGGACAACCACTAGAGAACCCCGATGAAAGACCACCAACCCAGTTCCGCTTGATAGAGCATGTGCAAGCGGGAAGGAACCTATGTAAAACATTTCTGGGAAATCATTAGAACAACAGCGCCTTTTCAGGGAAAGATAATGAATGTATAATGAGAAAGGTCTATAAAGGCTGTAACCATGAGACCAAAAAGTGCGCTCACCTTTGCGAAATGATTCGTGAGTGCACCTAGCGCTGCAATAAAGAATGCCTTGCTTTCTAATATCTACACATTGGTCTTAAGAGAGTTACTGATCTGATATTTCAGTAACAACATGACTCTATATTAAGAAAAAAGCTCCCCAGCATACGTAGTCATTAGATGAAGACTTCCACGCTGTCGCTTTTGATGCTCAAATTCCCTCACTGAGAAACAAGAACTCCTCTCGCCTCGATTTGCTTGCAAAGCAGGATCATTTTCACGCTACCTTCAAGTCCCACATGGCATTACCAGTGCTAAGAGAACAGTTTGTATACCCAAATCTAAGACAGGCCATGGCTTTTGGGGGCAAGGAGAGGTCTGCTCGGCATATCTGGCTGTACCATCTTCCACTTTCACAGTTGTAATCTAAGGGGTACATTTTCAGCTGTTTGCCCTGGAGACTTGCCATGAAATACCACAAACAGCCAAAGGAGTTGTGTATCTTGGTCTCTACATATCACAGCAAATATATAATGCTGTACACAATTCATCAGCTAAAGCTCTTGCAGCACCTGCTTGATGTTGTAAGTCTGCTCAGAGGTTTGGAGGCTTCAGAGTTTTATATTGCTAAATTAAGAACTGAGCTATTTGACACCCTTCAGCATTACGCAGCACAGCACAGCACAGGAATCTCCTCTGTTGGCTGTTTCTGTGTGGGGTTGGATGTCTAATATTAGTGGAGTCTTGCAGACAGGGTAGATGAAAACATTGTTAGAGGAAATCTAATCTCATAGTTGGTAGCACTTGGGTGTGCAACAAGTGCTAAGCTGCTGAGTCTATCAAGATAGTTAGACAGTCACCTAGAAAAAATTCAGCAAACAATAAGGTGCTAAGCTGCTGAGTCTATCAAGATCAGTCACCTAGAAAAAATTCAGCAAACAATAAAGGTTATTGGCAGAATGGTGCCCTAATGCGGATTACCGAATGTGGGAGACCGGTATAGCTTCTTCGCTCTCAGACTTCTTGCAGACTCCTCTTCAACCTTTGGATCACCAGTGACACCAATCAACTGTTTAACATGGTTCCAGGTCCCAGGCCTCCCACCAGACCACCTGTGGGAAGTCTCAGCCCTCCAAAACTTACACACTATCAGAGTATGATCAGACAGGATACAGATGATCTTCATTTCAGAGTTAGGCTCTGAGATAAACGGCTGGTGCCAAAATCTCTCCTGTCCATCTCATGAAAATATTAATTTGGTGCAGCTTGCAGAGTACATGGAAATTTATATCACACAGTTATGATTCTTGTATATTCATAAAGAATAAAGCAAAGTCTCTTTTCTCTTCTAAGCTAAGACAAAAGGTATTAGCACATCCTGTTCTGACCTTTCACTATGACAGCAACTGACAGCATTTTAGAAAGTGAGGAAATGTATGATCCAATGAGCATTAGCTAAATTTGAAGCAATATGGAGAGAGTCCTCCTTACCATTTCCCATGATCTTCACTGAATCTTTCAGAGTAGGAAAAAAATTAGGGCATACTTTATATAGCCACATGTTCCATCTTCTCCACTTTTCTCATTTATCCAACTTCTTTGTTCTGAGCTGGAAGTGGTTTTCATTTTTTTTAATAACCCATTGTTAAAGCCAGAAACAGGCAAAAAGAGATGCCTGTTAGAGCCCCAAACATTTCACAGTTTCCCTGTCACAGCATTTGAACTTTCTCATTTTGCTTGCTGACTCTTCAGAAGTTTAACTTACAACACAATGAGGCTGAAATTCCCATCTGTTACTTGTGGAATTTGCAACCCCAGAAAGCATCCAAGCAGTCAGAGTGGACCTAACTGTATCCTGTATTCATTTCCTACTATCACTACTGCAAACTGCTGATAACAGAAACTGCTCTTTCCAGGCATGCTCTGGCACAGCTATATGTCAATGACAAAAGCAAAGGATAATTCCATGCTCTTAATTGTTCTTCAAATCCTGGCAGTGCTGGTCCTTGTATTTGTAAGAAAGCATCAGTACATTTTGCTAAAACTAATGTAGCTGTATTTCATTTCTTCTTAATGCATTGGATGGGCACTAGGAGAGGAGGATTATTCTGTCATGAGGTCTAAGTACTTATTTTATGCTGTGCTGTAACATTTCTTTTAGCAAGATTTTCACTCTTTCATGTTTATTTTTACCCAGGGGAAAAAAAAAAAAAAAGAACAAAGAGAGAAATTTTGCATGCTTTAAAAAGTGTATTCTTTCCAAGTACTAAACTTCTCAGGGGCCAGAATGAAGCAAACATGAGGAACTTATCTACAGCTCATGTATTCTTTTGTGTTTTGTTTCACATGGTTAACATGGTGCATCTCCCTCAAGGTTCACTGCTCTAAACAACACAAAGGTCACTTACACATAACGTAGCAATGAATATTTCAGCGGGTTGGACTGGTCACTTCACTTCCACAGTTCGTGACACTAATAACAATGTAAATTCCCATCTACCTCCCCCTTGGTAAGGGAAACAGTTCTCTCCTGCTGGAGCCTGACCATGCCGGGCGGAAGAGCTATTTGGAATAAAAAACTCCATAATACTTGAAAACCAAAGCGTTAAATGTGAAGTGACTGTCTGCACTTTGTAATGGATTTCCAGTGCTCCAGTCGCACACCCCAGAAGAAGAAAATCTGTAGGGGCATATTTTTCATATTCCTAGGGAAAAATCCCTCCTTGAAACAAAGGAGTTTTAACTGGGCGCACGGGGGTCCCCACTTTACTTTCAATGTACTCTGACACAGTGCCTGCCGTCCTTCCCACCTGGTCTTACAGATTCTCCCAGTTCCCCTCACTGCTGCTCTGCAGCCTGAGGGTATCTGACCTTGTTGTCTTTCCCTTTTCTTAACTTCACCCTCTCTCCTTCACAAATATTTGCACTTTCCTTTTGAAAAATTAATGCCTCCTTCCAGCATCCATTCAGATTCTTATTTTCCTCTCTTTCCCAGGTTCAAGCCAGGATGTGGTCATTCAGTCCCTTCTCACTCCTCCTCGAAATGTTTTTTCCACCTGCCCAACAGTCCTGCGATGAGTCCATGTTAGGTTTACATTACAAAATCCCATATACATGAATATAAATTAAATCACGAAAGCAAGAACAACTTGTAATCAAAGGAATTCCCCCACCTCAGACTTTATGGGGCTTTAGGAGGCTGTAAAACACAATATCCTGTACTTTGGGCAACGTACAAGCAGGACCATGCATCCTCGGAGCCTGGGAATCCCTCCTATCATCTGCTTCAGTTCAGATTCATGGACCCTCCACTCCTCAGCATAGGCTGCCTTCTGCTGTGCTGTGCCCACACCATCGCTGCTCCTGGACGTGGGACCACCAGTTGCGGTGGCATTTGTCACAGCACCAACAGTGATGGACACGAGAAGATAAAATTAATTCCAAATCGAACCTAAAAAAGTAGGGGCAACCCATGCTCAGGACCGACCTATAATTCTCACTTCATAGGCATTAGAAACCAGATTCTTCTGAATCCGAAAAACCCCCTGAAAGTAAAAAGAACTCAAATGTAAAGCTGGTGTTGATTAGACCTGTGCTAAATCAACAGAGCACCTTATCAAATTAAAGGACATGGCAAAATGGGACACTGGTCTCAGATAGCAAAGCTGAAAACCTACCAGCAGGAGTAAATCACTGTAAAGCCTAATCTTAATGTATATGCCTAAGTTAAGATAGCTGTAATTGGATTAACAGTGTAGCTTGCTGTCTTGTGCTAAGTTATCTCAGTGCAGGAGCAGACCTTCATTTATAGCTGGAGCGGTGGTTTACCAAGATGCCCAGCAATGCAACTGTGTTTGCTCTTCCTCAGGGGAACTGGAATTCAGTTCCCAGCACCTTCCCCAGGCTGCTGAACACTGAATCTGTGGGTGGATATGGCAGACTTAGTCTGGGTTAAAATTAACTTGTCTCATCAGGAGGTACAAGTGGTAACTCCTTTGGAAGGTTGAATTTAATGCTAAATGAAGAAAGAAATATTAGTATTGACATCAAAACCACATGGTGGCAGAAGTCTTAAGGAGAAAGCAAAGGACGAGTGCATAAAAATATCAGTTTCTTGAATGTGCATCCATTACCTTCTGAAACAGAGAGCTCAGCCAGTTTGTGCGGCAGGTCTGAAGTCCCAGCACCAGCAGGAGAGCCCAGAATATCTGGTAAGGCGTTCCGGCGGCCTGCCCGTCCTGATGCTGCAAAATCTGTGACCACAGGCTCCACATCAGTCATTGCTGACTCCTTTCCTCATAGCAACATCTGCATATGTAACAAACATAAGAAGAAAACAGCTTTTAGCCCATTGGATGGGTGCTAATCACTTGCTCAACAGTACAGCAGTCAGAGGCTTTGCCAACGGATCTTTTGTTATTAAAAGCCACATATTTCAATAATGAGTGCTTAAGCTTTATTTGTGCCCCAGAAGAAGATAAAAGAACCTCTGTGCATTTCCTTATGTTGTCATTTGCACATCAGACTAGCACAATGAACAGCTCTGTACCTACAAGAAACCTGTGGGGTCAGCAACAGCCCTTTCTGCCAGCCGCTTGTACGTCTTTGTATGACCTGATCCCTCTTTTTAAGTGGTTTTGCCATACAACCACTCAGAAGGGAACTGAAACTCGATTTTGTCATACTGTCTCTATGAAGCAAAGCATGTTTTCTTTATTATTAATCTTGTTTAGATTCTTACCTAGAATCTTGTTAGAACAAACTCCTCTCACAGAGAAGCAAATTGTACCAAAAAGATCTCTCAAAAAACAAACTAAAACTCTTAATAAAATTTCTTTATCCTGCTGATATCAAACCATTTGTTTTCCTCTGCTCCTTGTTAGCTTGGTTTAACCTCAGCTTGTGCATGTGACTTCTATCTAATAAATAACTGAATCCTGGAAATAATAGAACCAACAGTGCTCTGCTCCCTCAATCCCTGTCTCAAAGTCCATCGAATTGAATGGGAAAACTCCTGCTGACCAAAATGGGCTTTGGATCAGGCATAGAGCTGTTTGCAGGATCACACCCCAAGGCGCCAGCTTAAGTGAGACACCTGGAGCAGAAGGAGGTGATACTCAGCTGCCAGTGGTACACAGGGACAGCGTGTGAAAACTGCCGTTAGCAACTGTATTATTAAGAGTCACAAAAGACTATCAATCATACCAGAGTTGTACACAATGATTTCTGATAATTAACAGAGTAATTTCTAATTAGTCATGAATTGTTAAATTAAAACCAATATTTACTTGCTCTATATGAATACAGTTCTGTGTGCAATGTGGGAACAGGAATGTCGTCTCTGAGTAAATATGGACAGTGCTTGGTGTGGGAGGGGATACAGATGGGGCTGGAGGCCAATCCACGGGAAGGCTGTCAGCTTTTGTTTGACAACTGGCTGTATTTAGAGTAAGAATTGGACAAGGAAAGTCTCAAATCATTTTAGCGCAGTTCATATAAGAAGCAAAGCATCATAGTCCCCTTTCTAAAATTCTGCTAAGGTTGGGAAATATCAGTGCTCTCATTTCATGGACGGAAAACAACAAGGCAAATAGAGATCAAACATGACTTGCTCTGATGTGCAGGAAGGGAGGGGCAGAAATTTGATTACTAATGCTGACCTGGCATTTCCATCAGACAGAACACTCTCCTTTTCTCCCTCAAAGTGCCTTTCAGCTGTGTCACTCCAACAACTCCAAGAATAAATATTCTTAATCTTCTTTGTATCTCTAAATACTTTGTAATAAAATAAATGAATCCTTTCTGGCAAGAAACGAAGGCATGAATAAAATCTGCAAGTCTGAAAGATGACTTGAACATGCAAAAAAACCACTTTCTTTAACCAAAGTCAGTAAACTTCAAATTCTGATCTGGAGATTCAGCTGAAAGTTCCTGTCTTGCATGAAAACAGTCAGGTCAAGTGCAATGAATCTTGTCCATTAGTAGCAAAAATGTAAAAACTATACATGGACATTCCAAGAATGCAACTTTGAGAAAATACACAAAGTTGTTTATCAACATTCTCGGTTAGCGAATGCATTATACTATGGGTATATAAAATGGGTGAGGTCAGCACTTGACAAGAAATATCAAAATACAGAGAATGAATCCATACTTACAGACATAGTCTCACGGCTTTGTGTGGGTGTGCATATTTGCTTAACTGTAGTTGTCCTAAATATATTTTTCCACATGCTCACCAGAGCGAGTAAAGAGACTGTAAATTACACTTCAGAACAGAAAATACTCAGGATCTCCTTTTGCTTAGTAAAGCTGTTAAAAATTGTTCCCAATTCCAAAATAGCAGTGTTGCTGCAGTTCCTGCCCATTTAATTTCAGCCACTTAGTTGGTGAGACAATAATATTCTTGTGAACTGACTGCTGTTCGCATAAAGATCTATAGAATGAAACACACCAAAGACTTTCTCAAACCTGTCTTGTGGACTTGTTTTTTTCTCTTTTCTCTCCTGCATGGATGTTTTGGTCCCTAAATGGTTACTTCTTAAATGGAGAAAATCTGCTCTACAACTCATGCTATATGAAACTACTCTTTTCTGTAGTACAGTTTCATCTTACCCGCCTCGTGCACTTGTTTCAAAACCCTCCCTTTCCTCTCTAGCTCACCTCTTTCTCCCCTGATGTACTCTCTCTTAATTCCATAACACTAGACAGCCCAGGAAGATGATGATGGACACAGTCTGACACACTTTCATGTATGTGAATTTTGATTTATGCACTTGATTAAAAAGTGTGCAGAGACAAATCTAGAACATCTGTCAGACAGGAAATCAGCTGATCATTATCCTTCAGTCCAGTGGCCATAACAAACATAGCTATCTAAAATTAATAAAAGTAACCCATCCTTTATATGTGTAGCAGTTACCATTATGTTTCCACCTTTGTTTTTTCTATACTACACTTAAGGTACTAGAAGCTGTAGAGACGACTGAGTTCCAAAGTTAAGGGCTCCACTGCGCTAGCACAGGATGTTCTCCAAGTATATATGAGAGACGATGGACTACCCCTGCAAGCTTAGAATTGACATTACAAATAAAAACTTAAGTCCGTTTAGGTCCATATAAATCAAAACATAATTCCACCTCCAAACACAACAGACCATATTCAAAATAGCTTGCTGTTGTACTTTAGATAAACGGCATTCTGTTCTTTAATGTTCTAAGGAATTTCTTCAGTTTCATTCTGATGCTCTCTTGCAACAGTATTTTCTAAGGCCTACATCCCACAAGGATGTAGAGTTTCTCCACTCTCCATCTGTTTCTACCTTTAATTTTTATAAATATCGATTAGAAAATAACTGTATTTTGCATCTTCTTGCATCTGCTCAATGTAGTATTTTTCATGCTTCCTCACAGAGTAAATAATAATGACAGTCTGCACAGCATCTATTTTCCCAATTCCACTCCTCCTCCCGCTGGCAACATCTCTTTCAGCTTCACTGAACTCATTTTGCTGTAGCCTTATCCAAGTTAAAGATACATCTTGCCAATGTCTGAATGCAGTTACTTCTCTCAGCTTCCAAATTACTGTTGTCATTTTTTTTCCCATGTCACTGCTCACCAGACTAACAGTGTGCAGCTCTAGAAGCCTAGTGACAGATTTCCAGAGCAGAAGGTTCCATACTTCCCCCGCTCCCTTATTTCCATAGCAAAAACCAGGCCACCCAAAAGCAGAAGGGGACTGGGTGGAAAACAGAGTTGAGCATGAATGCAAGGTGTTTGCGGAGGGTCAACAGTAGGAAGGCAGGTGGACCTCCCAGGAAAGCTCATCTACTAAAATTAGAGACTAAAGGCTTTGACTGGCATTCCAACTAGTGCTCCATTGGTACTGAATGGTACCAGAGTAACTTTGCAGCTCATTACTGGGCCGTGACGTAGCACTAAGGGGTTTTGGAGAGTACTAGGTTAATCTTCTCATATAGGCCTCTGAAATCCCTTCAGGACCACCCAGAACACACAACAGGCCACTCAGGTGTGCAGGGCGGAAGGAAATGCTCTGCTTGTGAAAACTGGCTCCAACCAAAAGTAAAGCTCAATTACTCTACCTATGAGGCATTTAAGTAAGTGTCCTCAGACGAAGCAAGGGCAGGTGAACCACCAGTGGGATTTTCTCTAAGCCAGACAGCAAGTTTGTTAATCTTTGCATCTTCTTTTGTTGGCAGCACAGCGAGCCCCTTGGGGGGAAATGAGTCACAGAAGTTGGTGAGAATTTATTTAAATAAATGACAAATAAGTCTCCTGAAACAATTTGTTTTGAGGATCAAGGGAAAAAATACGTTACAGTGCTGAGTTGTAGCCGGTGCCACAGCCCACATTAAATGTCAGTGCTGTCTCTTCCTCACCTTATCTGTTAGGAAGTAGATAAATCACCACCATATTTGTGAAAGCTCTTTTTTCTTCTAATCTTCTTACTGTCTTACACAGAGACAAAATACTGTTCTTGTTCTGCTTGGAAGGGCAAACTGTTCCTCAGGAAATGTCAAAAGGTTCCTGACATCGGTATTGTTGCAACTCCACACAGGAGACTGAAAGACCAAACACATCATTCCTTCCCGCTCTTCTCTCAAAAACTTATCTCTTAGGTCTTACGAATAGTCTCCGTGTGCACTATCAAAGAAAGCTACACTTCCTGAACACTGTTCCTTTTGAATGCCCCTTAGTAGGAACAAACTGGAAAGCGTGAAATCCTCTCACAAACACCTGAAAAAATACAATAGACAAGTAGGACTTTTAGAGACAGATTGATTTTGCGTCTTGACGGCCTCTTACTGTAAGATGTGTTTCAGCATCTTCCTTTATTCAGAAAGAACTTTAGTCCTTTTAGTTGTGTTTAGTTGGGTTTTATTTACTGGTAAGTAATGAGTGTTCTCCAAGCACCTTTACCCCAAAAGCCTGTAGGTTCAAAAGTTTCTAAGTAAGGAGAACAGAAAACTTATTGAATGAAGTGCTTCCCACTGTGCGACAGAGATGAAAACCACATCTCCTTGCTACGCAGTTGCCATGCTTTCACATCCTCTTCTGCTGCAGCTGCATCCTGACGGCTTTGCCTCTCCTTCCCAAAGATCTCAGAACAGGAACATTCTCATTATACATGGTCATGTAATCCTTATGCTTTATCCTGAAGCATTACTGGACCACAGAAAAGGAAAAAAGCTAGAAAATTCATGCTTTTAAGGAAGACAGTCCAGAGATTATGATGATGGCTAACAGTAGCCTGGGCACTCACATTACAATTTTTGTGATAAACATTTATGTTA